AGAGAAGAGAAACGGTGACGTAATATGTGTATTAAAAAGGACAGACATAGTCTAGAACCAGGGGACAACCCTACGTTGTTACGAGTAACAACGGGGGGTCGTACTCAGTTGAGCTTGGAAGGGGGGTCGTACTCTCTCGGTGGCCGGCAGTGGGATTCTTGGTGATATCCTACTGATCATGGATAGTGGTACGAAGGGGAAGAGCAAACGCAGCACAGAAAGTGTATATTATGTTTGTATATTAGTGAAGGGCGGAAGTGGTGTAGTGACAAGTGGCGCGCTTACCACGCGAGCGGTCCGGGGATCAAATCCTGGGTCGTGAGTCGCCCGGGCCAACCAAGCCTTCCATCCCTCCGGGGTCGGTTAATTGGTACCAGACTTGTCTGGGAGGATAAAAACACTGACTTGTACATCGGCTGGCCCCGCAAGTCATTGTATAGGCCACATCGCATTCAAACGCCACTACGAATGTACAAATGGAAGTAGAATGCATCCCAAAAAGGGATTGATCAACGGCAAATGCTTTATCCTTTTATCCTTTATTAGTGCAATTCATGCAAGCCTTCTCCCCGCATAGACGCAGTCATGAAGAGGAAGACATGCAGCATCGTCTGAAAAAAGTGCTCGCACCATGACATGGATAAAGCCACGAAACCACATATGAAACTATTGCCTGTGAAAACATGGATAATAGCCAGCACGTTACGTTTGCGCAAGATGACTGATACTAGAGCATCTATAAACCACGCTTCTAAATGAGCTTTCAAATGAATCAGCGAATTAGAAGGGCGCCCGAGGCGTGGCGCGCACCAAGGCAAGGGATGTAGTGCAAGCGCATGCTCGGAGCTTTCTAGCACATCCTTAATTAAACATAAAATTGGTCTTCCAAGAAGTTACGGGCAGTGAAACCCAAGAAAACTCGCGTTTTCGAGAAAATGGGCTTGAAGAATACCCACAAAAAGTAGACAATCGGAACAACTTGGTTGAACTGCTGCTGTCAGAACGTTTTTGGGTGTTTCGGAAGAAAGCTTGAATCCTGTCGTTTGTCATACCGTGTTCAGTTATCCGAAATGAATGACTTTGAAGGAAGTTATGATCGTTTGAAGGTAAAAAAGTCGCGGTTCCAAAAAAATAGTAACGCAAACCCCCAAAAAAGTAACAACGGGACTAATTTTTGAACTACTGATCTTTCAGGAACGCTTGGGTGCTCGTTAGAAAGCTTGAATCCTGTAGTTTATTATACGTGTTCAGCTTCCCAAATGAATGACTTTGAAGGAAGTTATGATCGTTTGAAGGTCAAAAAGTCGCCTTTGCACAGAAAAAAGTAACAACGTACTAAATTTTTACAATTAACTTTCGAAGATTTTTTACCCATGGTTGGGAGAACCGGGGGGAATAATTAAATTTTCACAACATCAAAATCATTTGACGGGCGCAGGAACTTCGAATATGAAGGAGTTAATAGCCCTAGAAATGTGGGCTATAACTCCGCCTAGAGCGATTGAATCGCCAGTGGACAAGCGATGGGAGCGATCCGCGCTTGCTCGGCATGGTTCCATCGCGATGCAATCGTCAGAGTCTGACGACATTCTCATCAGAAAAATACTTCATCAAATGATGGGTTCAAGGTACGCCACGAAGCGTGCGCAGCGAGATAAGCGTTGTTTCCTTTTGTTATTATTTATTATTTGTCATTATTATTTAATCATTTACCCCTTGTTCGCTTTTTCCTTTGTTTTTTTAGTTACGTCGGCTCGAATAGATGACTTGTACTGTATGTGTCGGTAATTCCATGAAGTCAGGGGTTAATTTTTTTCTCTCGGCTGGTCGCTGACACGCGTGTTGTGTTATAGGGCACGCCGCGTGCACACCCAGGGATGGTGAACCAACAGCTGGGGGGACTTTCTTGATAGGAGTCGCATTGGTGGTTCCTAGCAGTGGTAGGTTATGAAGAAACTATTAGGTACGGAGTTATCTTAATGTCGTTTTTTCACCAAGAGTTATTGGACCAGCAATATTTCAGTTCAAAACCCGGGGAGGGAGTTAGTTTAATCATAAAATGACTTACTAGGATCCCCTCATCTAACAGTTAGAGTGGCAACCTTGCACGATCCAAGCTCGGAATTTTTTGAGTTAAAAAGTAGAGGCAGGTCGGTTTTGACATCCTCTGATAAATCATCCCTGTTACTTGCTTAAAAGTAAGGCCTGGACAAAGTAAGTGTACAGCTGGTTAGCGTAGGGTCTGCATTGCACGACAGAAAAATTAGAACTTATCAGCCAAGTGGGCAGTTTTTTATGGAGACTTTTTTGCAACATAGGGTCAAAAACGCACCCTTTTTGAGCGCGCGTGAGGGGCAGGTGAGCACATTTATCAGAATATCTTGCGGAATCAAATCCATAGGAATGTTTGCGCATCATCATTCCATCAGAGTGAAAGTATCCTACCATTTCAGCACAAGTCTGGTGCAGCCCCTTCTCAGCTGGCTTAACTAGGGCCATCTTTTTGAAGACGATTGCCGGCATCCTTTCAAAAACTTCACTGTCTTTTAGGAAACCTGAGGAGAACCGTTGAGCATTCCAAACGGTAGTATTCCTTCCAACAAAAGCAATGTTAGTTTGGTTGGCGGATCTGTAGCTCCCAGCCCGACTTTGATGGCATTTGGTACACACATACGAATTTGCGCAATGAACCCAGGAATTTTCAGAAAAAGGTATAAAAATTGGGGGAGAGGATAAAATTGTAAAGTAACACGTAATAATGCTAGTGCGTCTCAAATAGTGAGTGTGATTTTGTTTCTCTCTCTTCCTCGAAGCTTCGGGCTGGGTGAGAAACAGAAGCCGAATAGCTCGAGCCCACGAGAAGCAAAAATTAAGGTTCCTGTAGGTGGCAGCAACTTTCGCATACACGCTCCTCCCCCCTACTGGGTGAGACCCCAGTTCGCCAACCTTTCAGAGCAAAAACCGATTCTAACTTCCGAATAGAACAATAAGATCGACATGACTCTTGTGAAATCACCTGGTAAAAGTTTCTTCAAATCCACATTGTGAAGCTGGTCGTTATTTCGGAACGCCACTTTACCGTACTCGCATGCCGTTCCCATGAACAAAGCAAGGTCAAATACTCGAGCTAAGTGAGGTGGCTCGAAGAATGAGTTTCCGTACGGTATCAATTCGATCTGTAAAGAATTTTAGCACTAATATAAGAAGCCATCATCAAATATGGAAAATGAACACGATCTATGATAGAAAATAGAGACCCTTCTGGATAAGAGTTAGAGGGGGCCTTTATGCGCTGTATCTCTAACGCTAAATATATGGACAAAAGTGTGGATATTACGCAACCGATTAATCTGAAGTATCGCTTTTCACAAAGGTAAGGCTGAATCGGGTTTGAATGGTGCAGAGAAATGACCCAGCTAGGGAAAAATATTTTCACCTTGGTAAGCTTGAGGAGGCGGCCACCACTGATCGTGTGCAAGAAATTGGGTAGCATTTGGGTAGCAGGCTGTGGGCACTTCACCACTCCTTATTCAGGAAGCCTGCTTCCAATGAGTCAAAAGCGCGTTATCAACGCGGCTACATTTAGCTTTAGAGACGTAGAGCCCAATGGAGTGCTCCCTCCAACTCCATTTTCTCCGCTCATTGTAATTCAAAGAACAGTTGGAAGGTTGGTTCAAATTTTAGGGTACCCCCAGGAGGCCCGTCGCGCGGCAAGAAGGCAGAGTCGGCGGACGAGTCGCAGCGCGTGATGTGCGATGTAGGACGTGCAATGGGACATTCTATTTAACTTGACGCGAAATCCCTACAGTACGCGCGCAACTCGTCCGCTGACTGCCTTCTTGCCGCGCGACGGGCCTCCTGGGGGGTACCCAAATTTTGTCGGTACTTTGCGGTATGAGTTTACAGAGTCGTGATGACAATGCATATACCTACTTAGTATTTGAGCAATCACTATAAGTAAATTTCTCTAAATTCCACTTTCTGTTATATTCGTATTGATCCAAGCACTTGGCTAGGCTGATGCTATTTGACGAGTTTTTGGTTTCGTAAGATCTGCAGCTGACGACAAATGACCCATCTGTGATACGAAAAAGTGTCATATAATTTGTGACAAGGCACGAGCGAAGTTCTAAATGTCTGTTCGCCATTTTTTTTGGGTTACTTATACTCGGGCGTTGTAGTGGGACTAAACTCAATGGCGAGAAAACGTATCTCCTTGTGAACTATTGTTACTGAATTATCCGCTTGCTCTTTCCTCGTGTACGGGAGGAATTGTGTTCGTCGGATGATATCGATGTAACATGTTTCAGTGCCCACAGCTAAAGGCCAGGGAGTTAGTTGTATGACTACGCTTGGCTCCTACTCAAGTGTCCTCATCTCGAACGCAAATGACGAGCCGTTAACTCGATGTCTATCTGTTGAGAGTACGACGTTCACATGCAGTCGAACCTGAAAGGTTAAGCTCATCTACTTGCGCTTCATCTGTGGGCTCTTGTCTCCTCATTCAGTGGATTATCTCTCTTTTGACGAACTTTGCCCTAATTTAACCCATATGCGATCGTGAACTGCAAATTGCTACGAGCGGTTGCGGTGCGAAGCGCACGCGGAGTCTACTCAAGACTCGAAGAATGGTTTACTGAGTCTCAGTGAAGAATTCACACAGCACTTTTAACAGACGCGAAGCACCCAGAAAAATCATCAGATGGTACTGCGCTTTGGAAATTTAGCTTTAGAGACATAGAGCACTACAGAGTACCCCCTCAAACTTCATTTTCACTGCTCAGAGTAGTTCAAAGATCAACTAGCAAGGTGTGGTCCAACCTTCATTGGGTATCCCACGGTATCAGATTGTAGAGAAGTGATAACAATGCACATACATAGGATTCGACGAACAAATGCTAATAAGTCATTTTCACTAAAGCTTCCACCTCCTATTCATTACACTGATTCGGGCATGTGACTAGGCTTACGCTATTTGACGCCACTTTGGCACAGTTTCGAGCCAAATAAGGCAAAACTGGACGAAAAATGAAGCCTAAAAAGTCATACTCGTGATGAGTGCACAGAGTGAAATGCCAGAGAATTTTTTCGACCTTTTTTGGTTATGACTATGCAGGGTCTGGGGTTGTAATACATCAGTAGCGTAAAAACCGTCATTTTTGCTTACGCGTACTGATGGCCGGCTTTGCTTACCGTGTACTGGAGGAATTGGTGTTCGTCCAGATGATTCAACATGTTCTTCAGTGCCACAGCTAAAAATGGCCAGAGGAGTTTAGCTGGTGCTGCGGCTTGCTCCTCTTCAAGCTCATCCACGCATACTCGAGCCGTTAACTCGATTTCACTCTGAGATACCCGTTCCACATGCAGACGAACCTGAAAGGAAGCTTAGGCAATGCGATTCTTGAATGCGCAATTTAACGAGCAGGCTTTTGAACATAAAAATTTCATTGCTCTTTTTCATATGAATTTGTCAATTAGCCAACTCTTGGTTTGTGGGCTACAGGCACGTGCGGTTGCGAAGCGGTATGCATGATACCTGTCTTAAACCTCGAAGAATGGTTACTGAGGTTCAGTGAGAATTTCCATACACTACTTTTAACACAGAAAAATCATCAGATGGCTACTGCCGCTTTGGAAATGTTCGACCCCCCAAATACCGCATAAACGACATGATGGGATTGGAACTTATCAATAAAATGATGAAACTATTGATTTTGCATATAAATCAATAAAAATTTAATTTTGCATATGAACAAAAACAAAACAACTGAATGTAGTGACACATCCACAGCTCAAAGTTACTACCTACGTTGCCTCATCTCTGAGAGATTGACGAATTATCGTGTGGGATAGCCATTGGTGTGAGTGATTTTGAATAGAAGAGTATCATAAGCATGAATTCGAGCAAAAATCTATCACACAAGATAATTTGGAGGGATGATCGATTGGGGCATGCAATATGTGATGTGAGTCGTGTAAGGAGCACTGCCACTTTATAAAGGTATTGAGTGACATGTGCTTTAGCATATGAAAGAGATCTGTGGTGTGTGTACGCAGGATCTTTTGCTAGTGTGGATGCGCGGAGCGAGAAGTTTCAGGCCGACACTTAGAGGATAGAATTGGAAAGGGCTTCACGCACGTCACTTACGTGGAGGTTGAGTTACGACAGACAGCATCGTGTGCGTGCTTCAGTGCGGCCAATGAGCAAGCGTAGACCAATATATCTCACTGAAAAAATGAATCATTATGCGCTGAAATATCTCACAAATTGTTATCTACTCGGCTTTATATAAGGGTGTCTCGTTCTCTCAATAATTTCATGACCATTAGTCTTGTCCAGAAGGCCGACAATCGTTATAGCGACTCTACAGTATCCGTCATCAGTGAGAACGTGGTGTAGGTAGTGCAGGCTGGCACCGGGAGACCGCCAACGCACGGCCCACAGCCCCGGGGATCGGTAGAGTTAGCCCAAAAATCGCTTAACTTGCTTCCATCTTTCGTTCGGTATTTCCATGCCGACTCAACCGGATGGCGGCTAAAGAGAGGAACAATTATTTACAGAGCCCAAATTTACTTACTTCAATAAGAGCAATCTTCCAAAGGCAACGGCCGCAAATAGGCACTATGGCAATTTATACCGCAAGTTGGTACAGGTTCCTCAATCACACGAGGCCTGTCACTAACGCGGCTCGAAAGTGCGCGAGGAAGCACTGTTAAGCCGCGTTAGAGCCAGAACGGGCCCTGACCGCTGCAACCGCGCATTTCCCATATCTAGCCAGCATACGGGTGTCCTGCGCCTCCGATGGAAAAGCTATTCTCCCCAGCGCATTCCTTCTCACTGCCGCGCTGTGCGTCGTACCATCTTCAAGGTCATGGGAAAAGAAGGTTATGGTTTTCAGTGTTTCCTATCTTTCCTTTTGTTTTTTTCTCGTGATGCCGTTCCTTGACAGTTTTCCTAAAAAGAACTGGGAAAATAACACGATTTATCAGTTCTTTTGGGATACGCCATGCCTTGGAATTGATTCCAGATTGGTAGGTACTTATACGAGAAGAGAAGAAAAGAAGAGTCAGAGGGTAAACAAATTTCTTCAACCATTGAAACTAATTTGGGGCCATTCATATCCGTACGGAATTATGCAGTGCTTGGGTGAGTTGATAGGATTTGCACCTGCTGATGCGAACTTGCTAGCGCTATAAATCCCACCAAATCTGAAGTACGGGGAAATGTGCTACACAATCAATCTCTCACTATGTAGCCATAATAATCGAAACGATTCCGGTGACATCAATTTAGGATCAAGGTGACATGAACTACCCATAAAATTCTAATAAACGAGCATTTCAGCGGCGCAGGATTATTATAAATTTGGTCAATTTGCCCTTTAAATAAATTAAACGACATGAGCACAAAATCCGATTGAATCCTGAGAGCCGAGTAATTGTTCAAGGAAGTTCAAGTTCACAGCAACTCACGCGATTTTCTGTGAAGAACGTTGATTTTCCTCATGAGCTCGTCGGAACTCGGCTCTAACAGCCTCGTCAAGCTGGTCGTTATCAGCGTCGCTCCATCTCCTCTTGATTACAGCGAATTTCAGCTTTTTCTCTGCCTGAAAATGTGCTGCTCAAGTTCATTGTTACACAGCACTCGAGGTTGACAAAATCAAACAGCTTTCAAAATTTAGGGCTCCTAACCCCGCAAAACGTCGAGCCAAAGCCTAGCCTAATCGTAAGCGCTATAATCCTTTATAGACGAAATTGGTCCCTGTTGATGGCTACGGCTGCAGGAGAAGGACACGGCCGCAGGGTCGCACCGAAGTTCGGCCACCACAAGGCGCCAAAAGTACCGTCTCCACGGGCCGTAAACGGTGCTTACCCCAGGGTAGGAGAACAAAAGATCCCTTTAAATTTGTTTGTTTTCGACGACATAGTTTCCTTTTCTCAGCAAATAATTGCTTCTAAACACATTCAATATATACACACATTACGAGCAGACAATTTGTTAGGCCATTTCTCTTCTGGTTGGGAAGGCAAGAAAAATTTGTTTTTTTTTATCCCACCCCCTCTGAGGGAAATATAGCATACGCCCTCAGCTTATTTTCAAGAAATTGTATTGGAGCGCATGTTGACAGTACTCGTATTGCTTTCACATGCCCATAGTATTTGTATCCAATCGTCGTGACTACATAATTATTCGTTCACCAGAAAAGGTGTGAGAAAGAAACAGGCGTGTTTCCAAGGAATGGTCAATTAAAAAATACAGGTTGATAAAAACATGGTAAACACCTTTGTGAATGTGCTCTCCGATACGCCAAGCCTCGTGTCCAACAGTCAGCTGTTGGAATTGAGCCCAAACAAACAACTGCAGATCAAGTAAATGCTTGGTGAACTTTCCAGTTTTAAATCTCTAATGACACTAGGTAAAAAATCAAGTTTATCCGGGTCTGGATGCAATCTACGAGGCGTGCACTTTATTAAGAGCGCCCCCTGATCACTGCACCATCCGTACTCACCAGGAAGGTCTTTCAGGGCGTGACAAGCTTTTTGAAAACGGTCTTTTGCATGATATAGGGGCAGATGCGGGAACCACAGAACCATGTTTCCTGAACGGCCCTCTGAATACCAGAAAAGGGGGTCCCTAGTTCGATTCCTCTTGGTGACAAATTTTTGCATTTCGAGTTGACGTTCCAAAATTCGCGCAAAATGGAGTTCTGATTGTTCTGGTTGGTTCTAACTCCATTTTGCGCGAATTTTGGCACGTCAACTCGAAATGCAAAAATTTGTTACCACGAGGAATCGAACTAGGGACCTCCTTTTCTGGTATTCAGAGGGCCGTTCAGGAAAAATTGAACATGGTTCTGTGGTTCCCGCATCTGCCCCTATATCATGCAAAAGACCGTTTTCAAAAAGCTTGTCACGCCCTGAAAGACCTTCCTGGTAAGCAAAATCTAATACATAGCTATACGAAGTTATACGTGTCAGACCTTGTCGGATAAGACTAATTGTTCCAGCGAAAGAAATAGAATCAAGATAACCGAGTACACATTACATTAAAAAGCCAGTAATGAATTGCACAAAGCTTCTGGTATTCAATGATCCTCAATGTGGATGGGAAAACAGTTCATGGGAGGAACAGAAGATTGGCCCTTTCAGTCAGAGTCACCAATTAATAATATCGGATCGTGCTCAATGAAGCCTAGGCCCGCTCATAGGCTTAAGCATAAGCAAATGAGAAGCATAAACATACGCATGAGCCTACCCTAACCCGAGCATGGCCCTGAGCTTCAATGATTGCGTAGCTCTGACGACCTGACCTAGGAGGAGAAGTGGACGTCTTCCGGTGGTGCTACTATTCCACCTTCTTCCATCTCGATGTCCCATCTTTAGCAGAACTAGCAGGACGAGATCACACCCAGGCATCTCTGTGGAGATTTGCCACAAAGTTGGACATCACCTGGTAATTTGGGTCAAGTTTGGGCAAAGGGGCTCTGGCAGGAACTATAAAGTAGACAGGATCAGCAGATCCTCTCAATCTGCTTGCGGAGCGAGGCACCAAAGCACTGATACCCGAGACAAAATTCCCGATTCAATTCCAGAACAGTCAGGCGACTTAGAATAAAAGAGTAGTGACCAAATGGGTAAGTGGATGAGATGTATTATAGAATACTTACACAGAACTATCCGTCCCGAGGTCTCCTTGATCTCTCCAGTGCTCTTTGAACATCTGGAGTTATGACGCACTTGTAACTCCCTTTCGGCTAAGATTCCATATAGTACATTCCTCCCTCAGACCATTGATTAATGCCAATCTTGGACCAGTAATCGACCCTCCTGTCTTCGAACCTTGATACCTTTCCTAGTATACCTTCTACTTCAGCCCTAAAAAAAATTCCGAAGACAGGACCTTATAATCACCTCAGCGTGAATAACGGTCGAGGAAATCCTCGACCATAGCTCTCTACCATGCGAGAGTAGTGCCGAGAGTGAACATCCGCGCGGAGAGCACAGACGGCACGGCATGGCGAGTGTGAATGTCCGCGCGAGAGATCGTCTCTGATCGGGCAGAGAATCCTCGACGTGCCGTTGAGGAATCCTCAAGCGATATTCACCCTGCTCCACGTGTGCTAACTTCGTAAAGCATACCTAACAGACAACGACATGGCTTCATTTTTAGATTTATCCCAATTCCCACATGCACAACCTCTTCCAGACATTCCAGTCCGTAAAACATCCCCGACTGGAGTTACAAACGAGCCAATTGCGAAAATATGCTGGCGAGAACAACTCGATTTGGTCGGCTAATTCCAGCTTCGTCCAAGCGGTTACTTCATTATTGATGACAGCTGACAAGTACACAGAAGGACGCAGAGGGCAGCGTCGAAAATCCCTTGGAAGGCTTCACAGCAGAGAGAGAATTTTCGCCAATGAATAAAACTAAAAATATGTAGTGGTTTTCGTCTGTATCTGCCCGTCTATGGATGATCCAGTTGCCTGGTACATATATAGACTCAAAGGAGATAAGGGACACGCAGCCGATATGGACTGAGGAGAACGGGAATAATGTGTGCCTCCCAGATATGAGTTAAAGTTACACCCCGGATTAGCCCAAGTACTAGGAGGATATGCATGAGGAAATGGTCGTCCTTCCCTACTTATACGCTCATAGGTCTTTCGAGATGCGCGTAAGGGCACTAATTCTTCGGCTTGCAACCAAAATCGCGCAACGCTATCCCACCACCGTGGAGACGCAGGGTGAGATAGCGTGTCATCTGATGTATGAAAATCGTCGCGCGACACTCTCAAACGACGTGCTCTCTTCGCGTATTTTGTCTTCTTTGATCGCCCTGTCTCGCCATCGAACCACATCCGACCTTATTGAAGGTTAAGGCCTTAACTTCAGCGTTCTCAAAGGGTTCTCTTACTTTCTCTCTCACTTTCATGTGTAACCATAGCAGCACTTCACTACGAACCCTCTTAGCTCCACGTTATAATCCCGGGTTCCTTAAAGTGTTCAGAGTGTGCAAATGTAGGGTCGTCAAGCCGCCCTGCAGACTTTACAAAATAAAAAGTTCCGGCGAATACTTCAATTCTAGATATGTGATTTCTTCTCCAAAGATCATGGTCTGCACTCTTTGAAAGAATGCTTCATTGATATCCTGTTTTCGTATGGCATATAACAGATACGCGGCGCGACTGTGCGTGTAATATTTGAAGACACGCAAAAACATATCATACTTTAAACGAGCTCAGCATCATCTCGGGTCGAGGAAAGTCTCATAAGTGCGAGGTCGTTTCCCAGAGTGTGGCCCGTCCTATCGTTAGTTCTAGAGGAGCAGTGTATCTGATTGTTACGCTTCAAGAACATTCCCACATAAGATGGGATCGAATAAAGGGAAACTTATCTAGTGGAGCAGACAACGCGACGTCCTGGGTGACACCGAGACGGAATTCGCAGCGGATGATATGAACCCTGCGATCTTGCGTGGTTTTCCCTGTGGCGCTATTGGCGCGGATGGTGGGCGCGGTAGCGCTGTCTGAGCCTCTAGACTTTTAGCAGAGAGAGCGTTAGCATTGAGGAGGCAACACTATGAGTGTCGCATAAGATTAAATCAACATCAACCAACCCATAGGTTAGCGAAGAGAGTATTTCAGGGGTCAGCCGCTTTTCATGGTTTTTCTCTTTCGCACCACTGACCATTTCTGACTTAATTTCAATGAGCTGCCTTTTCTTCGTAAAATGCGCCTTTAATGAACCATTAAATGAACCATTAAAAGCTCAGTTAAAGTAAAATGGCGCCTATAGCCCAATGGATAGCATAATGGTCCGGTAAGCAAGAGATGTGGATTCGAGTCCTGCCTGAGCCAAGTGCTCGCTTCCCCCCTCTCTATCCGTTTGAGTAAGTTGATCTGAGACTGAGCAACCATACATATCGAACTCTGCCAAAAAAAACAGCCACTTGAGAGATTCAAAGAACGCAACACTGAGTTCTACACCAATTTTCAAACAGTCCACATCAGGTAACTATCATTAACAATAACACTGCCGTAAATCGGAAATCGGAATTCACTCGAGAATTCGTTTATAATTCGTTTATTGAACTGTTTATAAGCATGACCAGCCCCACAAAAGACCCCGACTTGCTTGAAAAGTCCTGAGTCCATGGACTTTGAGGAAAGATCGACGAGGGCACTCACGTTGGCGATAAAGTATCGAATTACGAAGCGTAAATTGCCGTCCGTCAAGTCATTCACGGCGATGGCCACATTTCCCAATGATGGCAGTACACTGAACGACGAGAATACATGGCTCTTTTGATGATCATCGCTGAGGTCGAGTTTTTGGACGAGTTTCCTTTCGTAAAGTCGAATTACCACAAATCAAATACATCTGAAATTATAGGGTTTCAGGCTGAAATTTAGGCCTTCCAGAAATTTTCAATCTCATGAAAGAGCAGACGAAAAATATATAGGGGATAGAAAATGAGGATAAAAAGGGATAGAAGATGTAGGAGGATGAGAATGCGGATGAAAAGGGGCAGAAATCGAGCTGAGTAGGAGAAGGTGAGAGAGCAGCACTCAACACAGATCTCCGCCCTATTCTAAAAGCCCAACGTCCATCGCAGCGACAAAACAACAAGGTGATGTGTCGAAAAGTCCAAAGTATAACTAAATAGTGCACCATTTTCTTTCCGTATCATTTTTTGGTGTCCAATAACTACTTGTTTTTATTTTACGCTTTTTCTTTTCTATTTTTTTGCTATTATTTCGTTTCCTTTTTTGATAGAACCAAGGAAAAAAGGCATATTTCAAAAGAAGGTCACGGGAACCAAGCAGACGACCCAAGGGGAAAAACTACAAGGGGGGGTCTTTCAGGGCAAGCCACGCTTTTTCAAAACGGTTTTGTGCATATTGTAGGGACGCATGTAGGGAACGCAAAACCATGTTTCATTTTCGCTGAACGGTTATAGCAGTACCAAAAAAGAAGCATAAGGTACTGTTAAGGGTTCGATCCCCCGTGGCGACTAAATTTTGCATTTGGGTTGGCGCCTACGGTTTGGTGCCAAATCGCGCTAAATGTCAAAATCAGATGTCATTCACCATTTTGAAGCCAACAAGTGGCCGCCAACCTTGATTGCAAAATTTAGTCGCCGCGGGGGATCGAACCATCAAGGGTATATTCACCACTTTTTTGGTACTACTAAAACCGTTCAGCGAAAACGAAACATGGTTTTGTGGTCCATACATGCGTCCCTACAACAACAAACCGTTTCCAAAAAGCGCGGCTTGCCCTGAAAGACCCCCCTTGTGAGAGGTAAAATTGGATTTAGGAAAATGGTTTTGACCCACGGCCTTAAGCGCGCCAGCCTCTGGAACCAAGAGCTGTTGGTGATGTATGGCATTTGATCAGATGTTCGGTGCTAAATTCTGCCATTCGCTGCTTTTTCGCAAAAAAAAAATCAAGTTGGTCTTGTTATACAGTGAAAAAGTTTTAAGATCATCATAAATGAGTAATCTAAATAAAACAAATAAGACTATAGCGTTCGTTATAACTTAAGTGCAATAATTAACCATAAATATTTATTACGATTGCTCGCACAAGTACAAGATCAGTAAAAACAAATTTTTTAGAGGTCGTCCCTTACTATTTTTTATTTCATTACCCCATTATTACTTCCTTCTCTCAGACGACAAACTCCTCTCGCGTTTCACGCTCAGCTGTTTTCAGTAGTTCGAGCCCGAAGTGATCTGTAAACATTTCCGGTTTCCGCCCCGACTTCAAAAATTGATAGCAAACAAAATTAGTAGAAAAACTTGTAAACAGCTATTTATCATTTTTTGTTTATCTCGTGCACTCGACGGTTTTTTGATGAAACAACGGAGAAAAGTAAACAAATAAATAAATAAATAAATAAAGTACCACCATAAAGGAACACCTATCTGAGGTAGTGAAAGTAAGAAAAAATCAGTAAAAAACTGGTGAAGTTCGGATGAATATGTTTACGTAATAAGGTGAATAAGAAAAAGAGTGAAAGAAAGAAAAATCACCGATCAGGAAGAAAGTCACGACAAGCTCGAATAAAATGAGTCTCAAAAATCGAGCAGGAATTGAACGTGTGGCGTACTCTCAGAGTCACCACTCATGACTAGCAGTTAATTCCTTGTCTGCTGATCTCTACTAAACTTCTAGTGAAGAGTCCGCAGGTTTACCTCGGGTCAATAATTCTCATAGAAAGTCAACAATCCACAGTACCCGATTTCATGGAAAGGGTCGTGGGATATTTGAGACTCCTAAGAGCACTTACCTCTTCTTTCAACATATAAAACATAATTTACCCCCTACCGTCCCCCCCCATCCCGCTTGACGAGGCGGGTAGTCTGCGTTTTGAGAAAATGGGGAGAAAAGTTGATTCGCGTCCGGTATTGGAATCAAGCACTCTAGAAGGTGGAGAGATGGGGGAGGGTAAGCGACGGTGTTGGAGTACAGAAGCCGAGACATGCATGTCCAAGCAGTCAGGAGTGGGTTAGGGCTGGCATTACGTCAGGCACGCCGTGCCCTTCAAGAGGGAGAAGGATTATGACAATTTTAAAAATCTAAACAACGGACGCCTGACTTCGACGACCAGACCGCAGATGAACTCGGGTACAGATCAGCGCTGAACTTTGGTCCATAAATGCACCTGCCTAGCAACTTCTCCCTCTTTCAACTGGGGTGATTGGCGCACTATAATTATGCCGTATGTTCCCGCTTCATATATGGGAGCAGTTCTGTTAGCTCCGATTAGCTAGTGATGTGAAAAGCTGCATTCGAATAACCCATAAGTGCTGTTATTGGCTTTGAATATGCTCTAATAGCTTGCTTGCCCGTTTTTCCCATTACCCACCTCAGTTATGCGCTGTTTACCATTAGCTGTAGAATAGTCACAATGGTGATACTATTTCCAAAGGATGCAGAAGAAACCGAAATTGCTCAAAATTTTGTGGATCTAAAAGTGTTTCGTTCAAAGTACATAGCGCTTGGATTGTAGACTTGTGGTTGCTGAGAGAAGAAACAAAAAAAGGAACGTTAAGACCTGACCAGTCCGTTTCGGTTACAAGGCTTCTGTCAACCAAAGGGTGAGAGCGTAGCTGGAAAAGCACACACTTTGTGTCTTATTGGGACTAAGCCTTTTGAAGAAGATAAAGAAAGAGGAGATGCTGTGATAGTGTGCACTTGTGAGAGCTCCCAGACATCACTACAAAACGCTGAACCGTTGACAGATGTCCTGAGATCCTCATCCTCTAGTAGACCAACTTTGAACTATCCCGCAGCAACCAAAGATCGTGTCAGTTTGAGGTGTGAATTTGCTCTCAAGAATGCTTCTTTGCACAGCTCACAGCTCTCGCCCTCGCGGGAGTGTAAAATTCGGTCCGGTATGTTGACCAAAGCAATCTAAAGGAAATCATCTGAAATTCCCAAAAGTGATAAAAGATATCAACCACTGAAGCCCTATTTTCTTGATCGCTGTCCACACATGACACTCACACCCCGTAAAATAATGAGAAATAAAAAATTCAAAAAAAGTCGAGACTCCAAGGTTTGAATCGGAGGTGCAGTTAAGCCTTGCAAAAGATACAGCTTCGATAGGACAAATAGCGAGAGGTCGCTGTTGCGTTGCCGTCGAAAACCGGGTACCCCCCAGGAGGCCCGTCGCGCGGCAAGAAGGCAGAGTCGGCGGACGAGTTGCAGCGCGTGGTGTGCGATGTAGGACGTGCAAGTGGGACACTCTATTAACTTGACGCGAAATCCCTATAGTACGCGCGCGACTCGTCCGCTGACTTTGCCTTCTTGCCGCGCGACGGGCCTCCTGGGGGTACCAGTCGACACCTGCGCGTTTCACGGGTTCTCACACTTGAAAAAAATATAACCACGCCACCCCTAATCACATCGCAATTTGCCAATGCTGCTCTTGACAAACTCTCAAAAATATATGCTTCGGTGCACAACAAACGTAACATTCAAGAAGGGGTTGTCAAAGGATGGTGGAGTGATGGGAGAAGGTCCATGGGATGAGTTCTCGATTGTGAAAGATATATAATTATTGTAAAATTTGAATGTTTATACACTTTGAGACTCCAAAAATTTATTACCGAAGAATAAAACACAAAAGTATTCCAAAAAGGTAATTCCAGAAGTGTTTATTTTAGAAAAATATTCAATATTGCCATGTGGGCCACCAGAAAATTAATATTGTATTATAAAATAAGACATTGTCAAGTCGATTAACTGATTGGCTCCAGAAAACACTAAATATGTCACCACTCTAGCGGTTCAAATAATCTCAAGGCAACCATTTTTGCAGCCCTCTAGGAATAGCAGACCAGTTTAGGATTTCCCAGATCAGGGGGGGGGAAGGAGGGGAGCAAAAATTTTCAAGTCAATAGCTGATAACTCGTTGAAATCGTTGCATACCCTTAGAACCCAAACAGGCATTACATCTTTGGACAGGAGTACATTAGATGGCGCATCCTAAAAAGATAGGTGGGCCACTGAAGACCCACTCCATGTTCCACAACTGGTCAACCACAAATTGTAAAGGGTTACAGTCAGAATGGATGGCACAATAATAATAGTAAAGCCTCTTCGAACAAAATTGCTAGAATATTTCTGATGGGAACAGCATATCTTTGGCGATTTCACAATTGCAGCTGAACTGAAAACACCCGGCAGAACTGAACTTCTGTGACGGCTAGGTAAACAGCTTTTCAAAGAAAGTGCAATCTTGAGGAGAAGGCGTCATCGACCAAAACCGACAGGCCAAGGGAACTACGAAAACAAAACTCGTTGAAATGTGGAAACTGAAATGTCAGGAAGTCAATGAACAGCTGGAAAGAGTTTTCGAGAAATTGCATTTGAGAACAGCAGCAACGGCCTTTGAAATCCATCATGCAGAAAAATCGCTCGGACGCAAAGTAGAAGAAATCATGCATATTGAGCGGTATCAGCTGTAGTCTGAAATCAGAAATAAAAAATGAATTGCTCAACGTCGATCAATCACCCTTTTATATGAGTCACGCAGCCAGCAGGACTTTTACTGACGGTTGAATGCAGTATTTTTCTACATTATGACATGAGGGAGCCAGCAGGACAAAAACAGTGAAAAAGAGCGTTTTGGCCTCCCAGGAAAAATCTGTCATCAGTTGATCAAACGGGGAAAACCGACGGGTTTGGATAGCCTGTCTTGGCGATTGCCGGGACTTGACTCTAGACGCGCGCCATAAGCAGCGCTTCAAAAAGTCATGAAAATAACAAATGAAAGAAGAAATGAAGGAGGCGAACTGCGGCCAAAAGCAGCAGCTAACAATCAAAAATC